GATCATTCCAATACACACGCATGCCTTTCGGACTGACCAACACCCCCGCCACATTTCAAATGACAACTAATGAGGCATTTCGCCCGCCATTAGATACATGCGTTTTCGTCTATTTGGACAATATATTGATCTACAGCACTGACAGCGGACAACCCTTACAAGACATCGAAGCTGTTATCAAGATCTTAGCTGAGAACCACCTACTCACGAAAGCTTCGAAGTGTGAGTTTCTAGAGAAGGAGAGTCTGGAGTTTTTGAGCCATATTATTTCAGTCAATGGAGTGGAAATGGACGCAACAAAAAATTGCGACCATTTAGGCATGGAAGCTTCCGACCAACCTGACTGAGCCGCAGAGTTTTTGAGGTTTGCGCAAAAACGCTCTCTAAAGAGTACCTCAGTCCAAGCAACCTAGCCTACCAAACATATAAAACATATAGTTTGACAGTTGCTACCGTAGTTACTGGTTTTGGGGGTACTAGAGCTAGAGGTTTCGTTCCTAAGGGTGCTGCCTAGGAAGTGTCTGCCCCTGTGGGCCCATGACGTTCGGCAATGTTGCAGCTCCTGCTGCAGTAGCGGCAGCAGCAGCATCAGCAGCTTCAGCCACCCTAGCAGCAGACGCAGCAGTAGTCGTCACCACCGGCGAATGCACTTCGTCACCCTAGTTTTACTTCCCCTTCAACCGACCACTCACCGACTGTCCTTGTTTGTGGTCCTACATTTCCTCCCCTGGTCTCCAACTTGTTCTCCTCCTCGGCCAAAGATTTCTCCTCCTCCGCTCCCCTCTGTCTCTTGCCTCTAGTCATTGGCCCCGTCGCGCCCCCCACGCCCACGCCTCGTCCCCGGTCCCCGACATCCATTCCTTGACCCCCCGTCATCTCCCTCCTCACCATCTTAAGATCGTGCATAAAGAGACTGGATTTTTTTTACATCGACGTTTAGCCATTCCATAAGGAAAAGGGCGAGCTTGCTTTAAACTACGATAATACCTTAATTGGCGTATCAACACGTTACGTATAGTATGCTAATAACATGTCGTGCGACCACGCCTTCGACGCCTATGCCGTTTAGCTTCCCGCAGCTGAACGAGAGAGTAATTTGCTACTAGAATCTGTTTGGGTACCAGTCACAGTGCTTCAAGACCTTCAAGGGTGTGGCAGAAAGGATAAACAAGACACTGCAGGCCATCACAAATAAGTTGCTTCTGCAATATGCCTGCTAATGCATCGGTAACCTTACGCAATGGACCATGTTGGTCCGTCACACAACCTGTTATTATCGCAATCGCTGCCAAATGTTTCCTTGCCCTAAAGGATTGGATGGAGAGGCTTGCTAATACAACACTTTACGCTTCTTTGGCTGTATGGGACAGTACCGTCCATTAAATTCTCCTCTGTGGGAGATTCTCACAATGAGCAAAATGGGGAATGCTCCTTGGCATTACATTAAACTATATCTATACACATATGTATACATAGCTTGGAGGATTTTGGACGTTAGCAACAAAATTCATTGTCCTAGTATATGCCGTTCTCTCTTACGTGAACCTCTCCTACAATCACTAGTGCATACAGAAAGCCAACTCAGATGATTTGACAACCAGGTTTACTGGTCATCGCACCTTCGCAACAGAAGTCGACAAAGCGGATGCACCGAAAGAAGCTTTCTCTAGTGTGCCTAAAGCCTTGAGTGTCGACCATATTGTTCGATTTCTGTCGAAGTTGAAAAAGAAGATTCGAACCTGAACCCTATTACCAGTTCGCGGACAACGACAATGTTACACCAGTCCTTGCCATCAGCGTATTGGCCCCGGTTTTGTACCGAGCATTTAAGTGGGAGACAAAGTTGACTCTCACCAGGATGAAACTCAGATCCGATATAGGCCTACCCGTTTACATATTTTAGGACTCGATGTAGCTGTCCAGAATCCTACACTACTGACAAAAAACGAAAACTATCAAATAGGCAATGACATGGTCGGCCTTGTCGTGGCCCACTGAGTGGCTAGCGTTGAGAAGCAATGATGAGGAAAATGAAGACCATGAGGTGGGAAGGACGGACACAACGAAGAAGGGGGAAAGCATGAGTAGCAGGCAGGGTGTGGTTGGCGCAACGGAGAATGCAACGGCTGACCGGAGTGCGGCTGTAGGTTGCTGAAATGCAGACAGAGTGGATGAAGAAGATGGGGAAGGGGAAGAAAAGAAGGGGGGCCAGCTAGAGCAGGAGGGCATGAAAAGCAGAGCAATGGCATACATCAAAGAGAGAGTGCCATGGTTGGGAATGACATAGGAAAGCGCGGAAATACTCTTGAACCAGCAGCCACGCACAAGGAAGAGGGTGAGACGAGTGGTGCGAGATTCAAATGGCACTTCTCTCTCTCTTCCCAGTTTCTCCGTCTTCCGCCCCTTGCTGTAGCCCCCCTCCCCTCCGGGGCTCCCCTTAAAATACCCCCTCTTACTTACAGCTCTTGAATTCCAAGCTTCCCTTCACCCGTCTCCTCTC